TTTGGAGAGATTGATAAGGAGAGATAGAGAGACGGAGAAATGTCAGTGTGAGAGAGACACATTGATTGGTTGCCTTTGCACACATCCCAACCAGGGCTGGGGATCCAGCTTGCAACCAAGGTACATGCCCTTGACCAGAATCAAACCCAGGACCCTTCAGTCCACAGGCTGATGCTCTTTCCACGGAGCCAAACCAGCTAGAGCATCATCCTTATTTTTGAAAGACCAGTTGTTTCTACTGATGGAAGATTTAGCCATATTTAAATCATCCTTTGTTTCTAGCCATTAGGACTTAATAAAAGGCACTCTGCTCTTATGATGTGGTTGTTTCCTCCCACAAGGGTGTGGTCTGAGGGGAATTGTGCAGGTCATTTGCTTCTGTGTTAGAAAGGCAGAGAAACTAAACATAAGCTTAAATTAGATTGAAGACACCAATTCTTTCTTTTTTCCTTGACTCCTATAGTATACCTTCATGATCATCATTTCTCAGGTGATGAATCTGAGGCCTAGATAGTCAGTGGGAGACTTGGGACTAGACCTCAGGTTTCTAGGTGCCCAGCCCTGGCTTTCAGAGATTGCTGGGGCTAATCCAGAATATAGAAGTTTGAAAGATGATTCCGTACTGCTGGATCTCTTGCTATTTTGTAGTATATTTCATATATTTTTTATTTGTAAGGCAATTAGGGTGTTGCTATCCTTGCCTCATATAATACTGAAAAACGTGATTGTAGAAGACATATGTGCCGAAATGCTAAATAAAAAATGACTCAGTCAGAAAAATTTAGATTGCATTAGCATCTTAATGTATTTTAGGGAGAATTCAGAAGTTGGACAGAAATGACATAAAATTAGATTTTAGGGTTTAAGAATACATAAGCAGTGTAATAATTACTCATACTTTTGCCCATATTTTATAAATCTGCCACAGTGTAATTCCCACTGACTTCAAAAGAAAGCTCTATATGTGGACTTAGGAAGTATGAGAGAAATGCGATAAAAAATCTTGGCAATTTTGAATTATAGTGCTTTTTGCAAATAGAGTATTTCCTGGCACTTGCTCTGTATAAACAACTAAGCAATACAGCACACCTTTCTTTACTATAACAGGCTTCTACTTAATGAGGTTTGAGTATATATTATAACCGTTGTAGCTACTGGGTAGAAAGTATTCCAGGTACAGCACATAGTGAAGGGCAGCTGGGGGTAAGCACAGCAGTGCTTTCTCTTTGTAGTGAGAGTGCTTTGAAGAGTACAACGAGAATAGTTAGTTAGCCACAGGACTTCGCACTGTAGAGAATCAACTGACTTAGTGCTGGCTTGAAAATTTATTTTGCCTGCTGTCCCTTTGTGGGACTTTCTTTGTTTGAAGCAAAGTACGGGCCCTGGTTGAACCTGCACAGAACATGGAGTTTGCAGGACCAGAGAATGATGTGTCCCCAGGGCTTCTTTACAAGCTAATGGTATGTAGACCTCAGTGGGCTTGCTCCTTTCCTGTTTTGCACTAGGGTGCCATCAAGTGGCAATGTCCAGAACTGAAGCTGCTATTGCAGCTCTCCCTCTTCTGCCAAGCACTGCTGAGAAACACGTTTTTGCATTTTAATTTGGAGGAATGATACTGCTTTGGATCAAGAATTATAGGGAAGCGATAAACTAACAATAATGAGGTCAGAGGCATGTGTGGCAGTTGGATCCTTAAGCAACCATTATATTTGGCATCCTCTTAAATCCAGCATTCTCAGAGAGAGAATTAAAAATTATTTAAAGCCCTTTTCTTTACTGGAATAAACTTTAATGCAGTTTTTCAAATATCCAGGTGATTTATTCATTTGGGCAATAGCAATTATTGCCTTAATTGTAGGATATAATGCTAATTTAGATTTTTTTCCTGTACACTATATTGTGTGTTCACCACCCAAAGTCAAGTCTCTGTCCATCACCGTTTATCCCCTCTATACCCTCTTCCACCTCCCTCCACTCTCTCCATCCTGCAGTCACCACACTGTTGTCCATGAGTTTTTTCTCTCTTTTTTCTTTTTTGCTCAGTAACCACCCCACCCCCACTCCCACCCCCACTGTGTCTGCTGCATCTAGGGTGGTATGCCCAGTGCTTGGGCATAATGTGAGATCTCTGTCCTCAAAACCTTGCAGAATCGCTTGGGAAACAAGTGAATGAACAGAAAGGAACAATGTGACAAATGCCAGATGCAGTGGCATGGGTATCAGGTTTGGGGCTATCTCAGGGGTATTGTGCAGGAAAACTGGGGCTTGAGCCTTCAGAGGAAGGGGAGACGTTAGCAGATAGTGAAGGCATTTGAGAGCCTGAGGAGTGAGCTCATGTGCATGGGACTTGAGGTAAGAAGTGAGGGACCCAGAGTGGCTGAGAGTTCTGTTCAGGAAATAGTGAGAGGGGTCAGAATTCAGATGAAGATTAGATTGTGAAGAACTTAAATGAGAGTTTGACCAATTACCTTTCTATAAGAATGGGCCACAATAAGAGGGTAATTGTGAATGAATTAATCTTGGGATGTATCAGTGAGGCAGTGTTAATGCTTTTTCCCTTCGTTTAAGTACTAAAGCGATTAAATGTGCAAATTGAGGGATTTTAGAGGAGTTGATCTTTAAAGTTTCTTCTTTTTATAATTTAGTGAATTTAAATGTAACTCTGGAAGAAATAAATTTACAAGGAGACTTTTAAAATTACATTTAATGATATTAACTTTAAAGGGAACAGCTGGCTCAGAAACTTTACTAGTAACTTTTAAGATCTAAAGCAAGCATGTCAGACTTGCGGCCCGGCCAATATAATGGTATGTTAGAAACATTTTAATAAAAATTTTGTAACTTAATTTTTAAAATATCCTGTCATAATTATTAATAACGAACTACAATGTTCGCTAATGACTGATTACTATAATCATGTTGCTGAGAGTTCTGTTCAGGAAATAGTGAGAGGGGTCAGAATTCAGATGAAGATTAGATTGTGAAGAACTTAAATGAGAGTTTGACTAATTACCTTTCTATAAGAATGGGCCACAATAAGAGGGTAATCGTGAATGATTACCCTTATGCACCTTACTCGCAGGCGCACCATTTCTCTCCACTAATACTAGCAGCGAATATTTTAGTAGCCAATTGCCACATCATTAGTCTTGGACTGACTTGTTTGGTGTGCGCAACAGGAAATAGTTCACTTTTGGAGAACAAGAAAAATAGGTTTATTTGTGTTACGCTTATTAATTTGTCCAGTTATTCAGTGTCTGGTAAGTTAATGTTCAAGAGAAAATATTAATTTTTATTAAAATGTTCTTATTACTTTATGTTAATGACTGCTCATTTATTTCAGCCCTTTGTATTCAGCATGTCTCTATGGAAATAAGCCTACATTTCTATGAAAATTGGAACTTTTGTTTTTTTGCGTCCCACATAAACTTAAACCTTGTTTATTTGGCCCATGTTAGCCTTTGAGTTTGACATGCTTGATCTAATGTGTGACAACCAGCCTTCTGTAATTTGGGTAAGAGAGAAAAAACTAAAATGAAATGAGGGTTAAGATTGTAGACAGAATACATGTTCTAAGTTCTGGTGTACTTGCTAGAGACTGGCGGCAAAATTCTCCATACTTCCTAGCAGCCAAGGCAAAGAGGGACCCACAACTAGCAGTTACACAATATGTCATGACAAATAGAAGCACAGCTACTCCCACCACTTAATCTTCAGAAAAATGTTTTTTATAGGCACTCTTAAAGAGAATTCTCATGAAGAATATCTTAACAGTATCTCCTTAGCTCAGCGGTTCTCAACCTGTGGGTCACGACCCCTTTGGCGGTCGAACAACCCTTTCACAGGGGTCGCCTAAGACCATCCTGCATATCAGATATTTACATTACGATTCATAACAGTAGCAACATTACAGTTATGAAATAGCAACGAAAATAATTTTATGGTTGGGTCACAACATGAGGAACTGTATTTAAAGGGCCAGAAGGTTGAGAACCACTGCCTTAGCTAAAGTATTAAAAGTCCAACTGTCACTATAATGTCCCTCAGCCTATATTGGTAGCATAACATCAAAGTGCAGTTCAGTACAAACAATTGTCTGGGGACCTGAAACTGCAGTCTAAAAAAGGTAATGCATTGGTGCCCTGGCTTAAGTCAAGAATAAAATTTAGTAAGAGTATGTAAAGCAGTGATTCTTGAATAGTGAGGTTCTTTTTGGGTTCATTTCTTAGGGAAATTGATAATAGGTCTGGGTTCCTCTCCCCAGTGCACATACATATGCATAATCATACCAAATTTTGTTCATTGTTTTAGTCTATTCACAATTTCAGAGGGTTCACACCCTTCCCCCTCCCACTCTCATTCAGCCATACTCTTCCTGATGTACACCCTTCGTCTAGAGTTGCAGGTGGGCTACAGTAATCAAACATGGTAACAACTGGAGCACAAGAATGTTTGTGCTGATAGGACAGATTCATCTGCTTTAACAGGAAGCCAAATTGAGGCTGAGATTTCCATTTATGAAAGTCGATGAGCTTGACGGGACATGTGTGAACAAAAGATGTTTATTCCACTTTGGCTGGAATGTGGTCAAGAATGTATTTTTCTTAGAGAGCAACTGAGTCTACTCTAACACACTAAAAAGGGTCCCAGAGCTCTCTCTCTTACAGAGAAAGCCATGGTGATTTTAACTTAGAAAAATTGTAAGTCAGATGTTACCAAGAGCCATCTGAGCTTCTTTAAAAAAGACAAATTATTGATAGTTTTGGTATTTGGTATTCTTGGCAAAGAGTTTATAGAATGTCTAACTTGAAGTACTTATAGCTTACTGGTGTATTTAAAATAAAAATCCTTGTGTAATAGAATCTTGGGAAGCTGAATGACTTTATTTGCTTTTGGGATTGTTTATCTTTGAGCCAGTTGCATGGTGAAAACATCTTGTTTATTTACCCAGTTTTATTGGCTTAATGTTCTCATTAATTGTAGTTTCTTTTGCATTGCAGTGTTTTAATCTTGGGTGCTTCAGGTGGAGTTGGTACTTTTGCTATACAGGTAAACAATTGTTTTCTTTTAATTTTGAAAAGAGATTTATATGTGTTGCTCTAGGGTTTTTTGTTGTAGTAGAATTAATACATTAACAAGAGAAATAATGAGACTGATTGATGATGATGGAGGTGATGATAGTTTAAGACTTATTTTGAGCCACATATAGTATGCTAGCACTTTACAAACATTAACTATTTAAGCCTGCTAGGGTTTTTTTTTGTTGGTTTGTTTGTTTTAGATAACATTGGTTAATACTATTTAAGTTTCAGGTGTGCAACATTATAATTCAGTATATATATATATTAATTAGAGTGCTCACCACCACCAAAAGTTTAGATTCCATCCATCACCATATATTTAGCCCCTTTTACCCAGTTGACCTCCCCTCACCTCTTCCCCTCTGGTAACCACTATTCTATTGTTCCTAGTTTTTGTTTTGTTTTGTTTGTTTATTTTTTGTTGTATATTTCACATGTGAATGAAATAATACAGTTTTTGTTCTTTTTATGTCTGATTTATTTCACTTAGCATAATATCCTCAAGACCCATTTATGTTATTACGAATGCAATACTGTCTTTTTTATGGCTGAGTAGTATTCCATTGTATATGTAGTTTTTGGTTGGTTGTTTTTCTTATTTTGGTTGTTGAATTATATGAGTTCTTTATATACTTCAGATATTACCTTCTTATCAGATATATCATTTGCAAATATTTCTCCTATTCAGTTGCTTGCCTTTTTGTTGTTGATAATTCCCATTGCTGTGCAGAAGCTTTGTATTTTTTATATGGTCCCATTTGTTTATTTTTGTTTTGTTTCCCTTGCTATTTGAGTCAAATCCACAAAATCATCACTAAAACCAATGTCCAGAGGCTTAATGCCTATGATTTCTTCTATGTATTTTATGGTTTCAGATCTTTCAAGTCTTTACTCCATTTTGAGTTCATTTTTGTGTATGGTATGAGATAGTGGTCTAGTTTATTCTTTTGGATGTGGCTGTCCAGTTTTCCCAACACCCTTTATTGCAGGGACTTTTCTTCTCTATTGTATATTCTCGGCTCCTTTGTTGTAAATTAGTTGTTCATATATGTGTGGGTTTATTTTTAGACTCTCAATTCTGTTCCATTGGACTGTGTTTGTTTTTCTTCCAGTACCATGCTGTTGTTTTTTTATTATTATTATTATTACTGTAGCTTTGTTACATAGTTTGAAATTGGGGAGTATGATACCTCTAGCTTTGTTCTTTTTTCTCAGTGTTGCTTTGGTTACTAGGGGTCTTTTGTGGTTCCATACAAAGTTTAAGGTTTTTTGCTTTATTTCTGTGAAAAATGCCATTGGAATTTTGATAAGGATTGCATTGAATCCACAGATTACTTGAGGTAATAAGGACATTTTAACAATATTGATCCTAATGCATGAGCACAGAATCTCTCCATTTCTTTGTGCTTCCTTCAGTTTCTTTTAAAAATGTAAGATGACTTTATTTTGTCAATAGAAAGATTATTTCATGAATTTCTAAATTCACATAAATTATTTTTTCTTAAAAGCCTGAGGGAAAGGTAGGTTCAGTAAATTCACTGTAATTTCAGCTTGCCCTTCTAAGAAGGAAATTTTCTAATGTAGAAGGAAGTGTTAATCTTTCCAGTGGTTTAATATATGAGTTACTTTGTGGATGTCTTGTATAAGAAATGTTGGAAAGCTTTGTAGTCTTGAATTTGAATAGGAAGTATCAATATGAACTCAACATATTTTGTGTACTGGTGTATGCAAAGCTGTCTCGTGAAATATCTTTGCTCCTTAAAGGAAAGCAGGGCTTTTGGAGAAATGGCAGATTACAGATCTGGGTCACAAAATGTACAAGAATGAGCATGGAATGTATTAAATAGTAAGGAAACTGTCAACTTGAAGGAACTCCCAAAGATGTTACACTTTGAGTTTCAGTAATAATGGTAATTATTATGGATCAAAACCCTTCAAATATATTTAAATCCATGAATTCATGATGATATATTTTTTAAAAGTGGTCAATTTTGGAAGAGGACCAACTTATTTAAAAACTGAAAAAGGTAAACAATTATGTGTCTTGCCTTTACTGTATGGACTTTACCTGAGTAAACAAAGCATGTTTTCTTCATAAAAGTATTCCAAATACTAAATTAAAAAAAAAAAAAGAATATTATTATTTTGCAACCACCAGTGGACAGCTGCTAAGATAATAAGAAGAGCAACAAGCAGACAGGATGTGCCTGTTCTCATTTTGCCAGACACTGTCCATAGTCTTGCTAGAGGGCTTGAAACAGAAGACACAGAGCACAGAGCAGCATGTGGCCCCGAGCCCTGAGTGTGCAATTAGAACTTCATCACTGGGGAAACTCTGGAGGTCAGGTCAATGGCCTGGATTTTTTCACAGGTAAATTATTACAAAGTGAAGGGATAGAAGAGGAACCTATAATTTAAAAAGAGACTTAGAAGACATTGAATTTCAAAAATACACAAGACTAAACTGTAGTGTCTAGGGAATGCACATCTGCGTGCTAAAACAATATTTTTAAATGCAAGGAGGTGATTACTGTGAACATAAGAATAATGATGACTTCCAGGGCGGGAGAGACTTGTGTTGGGGTGGGGCACATAGGAAAGCTTTTGGAATGGCTGCTGTTTTGTGTTTCTGCGTTGTGTCTGCCATGTACGCATTTTTTTATGCTTGTGCTTTATTTTACATAAAAATTTTTTTAAAGGTAAAGCTGTTTTTAAAATCTATTAGTGGTGTTTAAAGATACTAGATAGTTCTAAGTGGGAGAGGAAAAACTAGAAATTTAGAAAAAATTCATTGAACTGTTTCAACATGTGATAAATTCTTCCTGAGGATTTCATACTATTTAAAGAAACCATTAAATGTAGTGCTTAAAACATAATTTCCTTTTTCTCCACAGTTTCTTTTTCATATATAGGTACTGGATATTTATCTTGGATTATATTCTTGACATAATTGAATATAGATTGGGACTTGCTGTTGAAAGCAACATGTCATTGTACTCAAGTTTCTCTGTTTGCAGCCTATAAACATCATATATTTTATATGATGTCACTCCTAAATGTTTTAATTCCCCTCGTATTTCCAGGGCATATAAAACCTTGGTCAATATTGCTTTTAAAAGTGAGAGATTAGGTAGGATTATAAATGGTTTTTAAATCCTTTATTCATTTTTTTTGTATTTAAGATTTGTATTGATTTTTCTAGAGAGAAACATTGATGTGAGTGTGAAACATCAATTGGCTGCTTCCTGCATGCCCTCTACCGGGGATTGAGCCCACAGACCAGGCATGTGCTCTGATGGGGAATTGAACTGGCAACCTTCCTGTGTTTGGGATCAGGCTCAATCAACTGAGTCACACCAACCAGGACATTCCTTATTACTTTAAAAATATAAGGCATCCACATTTTATATCTGGGGAACTATATATATAGGTCTTTTTACTTCCAAGTTAATCATGTTTAAAAATAAAGTGGTTGTATTTTCTTCACTTCTTTTAAAAACTGATCCAATCATTTATTACCTAGTACTGAGAGCCACTTGCTTTTTAAAATATATATATATTTTAAAATATCAATATATATATATTGATTTCAGAGAGGAATGGAGAGGGGGAGAGAAATTGAAACATCAATGATGAGAGAGAATCATTGATTGGCTGCCTACTGCACACCCCCTACTGGGAATGGAGCCCAACCCAAGCATGTGCCCTTGACCAGAATTGAACCTGGGACCCTTCAGTCCATAGGTCAACGCTCTGTCCACTGAGCCAAATCAGCTAGGGAGAGCTAATTGCTTTGATACAGCTGCCTTACTCAAGACTGTACTAACTCTTATTGAAGATACAGATGAAGAAATGTTGCATTTTTATGTTCTGAATATATTTTAAATTGTCATTTTCTGAGAATATGTTTTTATTTATTTACTAGGGGCCCAGTGCACGAATTTGTGCACCTTGAAAGGAACTGTGGGCCATGAGGCTGCCGTGGGCACAGGGACGGGTCTCGGCCCATCCTCCGTGCCCCCACCAGGCCCCTCCAGCCACGGCCCCTGGTCCCATCTGCTGGCAGCCCCGCTCCCACCACCACCACTCCCACATGCTGACAGCGCTGGCCCCGCTCGCACCCGCTGACAGCGCAGAGCAATTGGGGCCGGTGCCAGCAGCAGGTGCGAGTGACAGCTGCTGCCCCCATCGCCCCTCAGGAGGAGGGGGAGGAGGAGAAGCCCTCAGGGTGATCAGGGCTGGCAGCCCCCGCTCACACCCGCTGATAGCCCTGAGAGGTTGGGACCGGTGCCTGGAGTTTGCAGTGGGTGCAAGCGGCAGCTCTGGCACCAGCAACAGGTGCAAGTGGGGCCGTCGCCAGCAGCAGGTGTGAGCAGTGGCTGCCTAATTGCACCTCAGGAGCAGGGGGAGGTGGAGAAGCGCTGAGGGGCGATCGGGGCCGGCAGCCGCTGCTCGCACCCACTGACGGCGCTGAGTGATTGGGACCAGTGCCAGGCATCGAGGCACTCAGGAGCAAAGAATTTTCAGTAGCTACCAGAGGCTTGCCCCAATGACAGCGACCAGGGCCCCACCTTGTTCTGGCACCCCCCTCCTCCCTTGCAGTCATCCCCTCCCCCCCCCCCCCCCACCTGCTCCACCATTGCACTGCTGCCGACACCCACCATGTTCCGCATGGGCCCCCTGGTGGTCAGTGCACGTCATAGTGATGGGTTGTTCAGTTGTTCCGCCGTTCGGTCTATTTGCATATTAGGGTTTTATATATATAGATTTGCCATTTACTTTTGTCAGCCTTAAAAGTACTAAACTTGAGGCTATAGACTCCTGTCTTTTCTGATACTGGTGAAGCATTGAGCTCTGCTCTGATTGGATTGGTTATAACTTCATGACAACAGGCGACTGGCTGTTGCATCCAGGGAAAATGAGATCTACTTCTTGGAATTTTCTGAGTGAACAAAAGTTGAATCATTTTTACTAGTTTCTGACAGATGGCTTCCTGTAGTGTTCATTAAGACGAAGCACTTAGAGTTCTCTAGAGATCGGGCTGATACATGTACATGTGGTGCCAGCTATTTTAAAAAATGCAGTTTTCTACTTTCTCTCTCTCCCCCCTCCCCTTTTCTTTGGCAGGTAATGAAAGCATGGGATGCTCATGTGACAGCAGTTTGCTCTCAGGATGCCAGTGGACTTGTAAAGAAGCTTGGGGCAGATGATGTAATTGATTACAAATCTGGAAATGTGGAAGAAAAGTTGAAATCTTTAAAACCGTATGTATTAGAACAATGTTCACAGTTGATAATGAAAGCCTGAGATGGTTTGGTGATCATGTTGGAATCTTAGAGAAGTATCTATGAAAATATTCAGTGTCATTAGAAATCATTAGGTTGGTTTCTGTGTTAATTCCAGATGTTAATATAGCACAATAACACAGTGAGATAGGTATTGAGGAAGATATTTTGCTTACATGGTCTTTTCAGTTAACTTTCATTACTGGCTTGTAACAGGTCTGAAGGCAGAATTGGAAGTGTGTTCCTTTTGATGGCATCTGTCACCACAGGAAGAACTTAGCGCAGTGCATGAAAATTTATGCTTAGCACTAAACACATTTTTGGCTTAATAAGGGCTTCACAGAAACAAAGACAGCATAAATATTGATGATGGGAGCACTGTGAATGTTCTCGGTGCCGCTGAATGCCAGGCTGTGGTTTGGCCTAATGTACAAACAGGAGCAGATTCAGGCATTCTCCAAGGCCCTGTTCATCTTGACTGTGGGCGTTTATTAATCTGGTCTTCATCTGGCCAAGATATGCTGAGAGCATAACCTAGCAGTGTTTGGAAAGCTACTTTACTGCTTCTTTTTCTTTATTGAGAATCAAACTGGCAATCTTTCAGTGTACAGTGCATGGGCTGATGTCCAGCCAACTGAACCACATGGGCCAGAGCTTACTACTTCTTTTTCAAAGGTGTTTCCTTTTTCAATTACTTTTCAGAAGCCAGTTATTCTTGCCCACTTTGTGTAGAAATATATTTTCATGGCTTAAAAAAAAAAAAGAGGAGACAAAAAGGGAGCCCCTGTCTGACTGCCTAGCTTTTCTCAGCCAGCACCCCCAGCTCCCAACAGCAGTATGGCGGTGCACCCAGGAACTGACTCCTTATTCCTTCAACTGTTTATGGAGCCTCCACTCTTGCCAGACAGTGTTCTAAGCATAGGATGAGATACATTGGTGAGCAAGACAAATTTCCCTTTCATGGCACTAGTATTCTAGTCGGAGGTTTCATTGGCAAGTGCTCTCAAGAACACCGATGCAGGGAAAGGGGAAAACAAATGATTGGTGAGGAGTCTGTGTGACATACGGTGTTTTAAAAATGCCTCTGAAGCATTGGAGCAGAGGCATCTGTGGGCAAGCCAGGAGAGTGGGATTTTTAAAAACCTGTTCCCTGCTGTATCCCTCCACTTGGAACAGTATAGTAGCATGTAGTGGGTGCTCAATAAGCAAAAAAACACACAAAGTAAACCAACAACCAAAATATTTGTTTACTGAGTTATTGAGGGAAACTTAGGAGCAGAGCAGTTGTTCCAGATGGAGGCAACAGCAAATATAAAGCCCCCGTGGCTGAACTCACTTGGCATGTGTGAGGGATGACACTGTCCCTTGCAGAGATCTTATCCACTACCTTCCACCCTGTGTGTCAGAACCTAGGCCTCTCTGGGCCTTCGAGATCTGGTTTCTAGGTAGTGGTAGTTTCCGCTGCTCTCATACCTTCTGCTGCCTCTAGGAATAGCAAGCAGTATGAGACTGAGGCCAAGGCCAACCCATTGCCCTCCATCTACCTTACCTTTTACACATGTCTGGAGTATGTCACCAGAGAACAGGGAACCTGACACATGGAAGGCTGTAGCACACTCAGACCAGCCCCCACAGCTGTGCTACAGTTTGCTCCTCCACATCGCTTATCCTGTTTACTCCTTTTCAGTAGGGGGATCTCATCAGCTTACAAATGTAGACCAATTTTTTTTTTTTGACAGCTTTAGTTAAAATTCATCTCTATAACTTATACCTGAAGTTTGGCCTCTGAATCTACGTAGAATAAATTTGTTCCTCCTTCTAAATCACAGCTTTTTAGATTTCAATCTTAGAGTCTTATAGCAGGAAAGGGCTTCAGAATTCTTCAGTCCAACTCTATCATGTTACGGTTGAGAAAATCAGGTAGAGGGGATATAAGTTTTGAATGCTCAAGGTCATGCCACTCAGTCATGGATGGGAGAACTGCATCTACAGCCTGGTCTCAGGACTTCTTTTTCAGGTGGTGCCTGTTCTATGATACCAGTCTGCCCTTAAGTTTTATTTAAAATAAGTATCATCATTTTTGTTTATTTAAAATTTGGGAAGGGAGTAGAAAATTAAAAGCAGAAACTTTAGAAACTTAAATTCACAATTTTTATTCTCTTTAACGAAAAGAATAGTCTTCTAGTAAGGTCATTCTCTTGCACACATAGCCTTCTATTTTTATTTGCCCTTCTTTAGTTTAGTCCATAAAAGATTAAAGATGCACAAAGTTGGTCGAAGCTGGTTTTCGTAGCTCTGATGCTTGATTTCATGTATATGAATTTAGCAGAGAAATGGATTTATCAAAAAGAAATTTATCAATTTGCTTAATGTATAAGCATACAGTCTCTAAATAGATCTTTTTGTTTTAACAAATATTTAAAAGCTTTATTGAGTTTTATCCCCTTTAAGGAGAATGTAGTGATTATAGCAGCTTTAGATTAGACGTAAAGAGTTGAGTATCTGTTAGTTCCTGTGGATTCCATCATGCCTGGATTTTCTGGGCATGTTAGAGCAGAATTGAAGACTGAGAGCAGGCTGTTGATTGCTCTTTATACATTGTCCCGATGCTATGCATGAAACAACAACAAAAAAAAGTAGAACATTCCAGGGAAAGAGGATGCTTCTATAAGCAGTTCTAACTCTAGAGGGATTAAAGCAAATTGTTTTTGTAGGTGAAAACCTTACATATTTGTCATTCCAGTGCTTCTGTGCACTAAAGAAGACTTTTACTTTTATCGCATGGATAGCTTTGCAGTTTTCTATAGAGCTTGAGTCGGGGTTTCTCAACAGTTGACCTTTGGGACTGGATAATTTTTTGTTGTGAGGGGCTGTTATGTGCACAGTAGGGTGTTTATCATCCTTGGCCTTTAGATGTCATTAGCCTCTTCCCACCACCTTATAGGGTTGTGACAACTAAAAATGTCTCTAGACATTGCCTAATATGTCCCCTGGGAGCTAAAATCACCCTGTGTTAACAACCACTTGTTTAAGTCATTCTTAAAGTATTAGAAAATTTGATTTTATGACACAAAAAATCAGTCACGTTTGACTTATCTAGGAGAAAAGCCAGAGACTCGGTAAGTGGCTATTCCCTTTACTCCTTTGTCAAAGCAGCCACCCCTCGGCTGGATAGCACAGCACAGCTGAGTTTGTGACTGTCACTGAAAGAAACCCTATGGCTACTGGTGATGGGATTGAAGGGGGGTTGGAGCCCTGGGTAAAGACTGACAAGGATCTTCTGATTGCTTCTTCCTTTCCAGGTTTGATTTTATCCTTGATAATGTTGGTGGGTCCACTGAAACGTGGGCTCTAAATTTACTCAAGAAATGGTCAGGAGCCACATACGTGACTTTGGTGACTCCTTTTCTCCTGAACATGGACCGGTTGGGCGTAGCAGATGGCATGTTGCAGACGGGCGTCACCATGGGCTCTAAGACACTAAAGGTAAGGATTCAAGTCCTGGTTGACGAGAACAAGCAAGTGCCTCTTGCTCCTGGAAATTGATTTCCACCCAGCCAGTTTCCCTCATCTTGGGGACAAGCATGGGCTCTGGAGTCACACCCTGACTGTGTTCAAATTTTAGCCTCCTTAGTAGCTGTGTGACCCCTTGCAAATCTTTGTCACTAGACCTTGATGTCTTCACCTGTAACACGGGGCTAGTAGGATATATATATGCCTTACCTCATGTTGTAAGGGTTAAATGAGATCATCCATGTGAAGGACTTGGCACAATGAAAGGTCCTGTTAAGTGTTAGCCTTTATTGTTACCATCTGATATACCTTCTGCTTTTTTATTGCCTATATCTGATGCTCTCTATCTTCACCAGTCTTAACACATAAGGTCTCTTGTATGGGAAGGTGAAAATGTTAGTAAGTCTGCAGCTGGCTGTTTTTATGTTCGTAGGATTGGGATATGCCAGTGATTCCCAGTTGGTGCTTTCAGACCTTTAGAAGTCCATGGGCAATTTTTGAATTTCAAAAACCTGAAGGAAATTGTACTCTTACTTCAGTGAGACTACAAAGACTCATAGAACCATCAGGCCTTTCCTGGATTTGTATTGATTGTCCCAACACTGCATATCCCATGTGGATCAGAAACTCTAGCTCTTAATGGCATTCTGGGAGTTTCTGACCCTTGATTAGTCAGCCTGACTGTTAACAGGGCCACTGTTACCAGGGCTGTAAGGAGCTCTGTCCCCCACCTGAACACATCCAGTGTGTGGTGGGCCTGGAGACGCGCAGCCTTGGTTACAGGACTGGTGGCTTTTGTGTTTGTTCTTACTTAACGTGATAGCCTTGTCCTCACAATGGTGACAGAACCTTACATAATTCCACCTTATACACTGTTGGTAATCATTGGTTTAAAATCTGAATTAGTGAGAAGGTGGTAATCATTGGTTTAAAATCTGAATTAGTGAGAAGGTGGATACAAAAAAGGAAGATAAATTCTATTTCATTAATTAGACAAAATACTTTAGGCCCAGGAAAAAGGCAGTAGAAAGTTCCTTTACAGTAAAAGGTTGTGGGTCACTGTGTCGAGCCCTCCATCACTGACCCATATGTGTGAGATGACTGGCTTGATAATTATCTTAACTTTTTTTTATTCTAGAAATTAATTTGGGACCTTTCTGGGAGTGAACTTTAGGACTTTGGTCTCTCGGATTCTGTGTACTAACTACACACTTAGAAGTAGTAGCGAAGAGCTGTGATAAAAGAGACCAGCACTCAATTCTTAGGAACCGTGTGTGGGTGATAGAGGTGAACACCCAACACAGGGAACACAGCACATTTTCACTGGATCCAAATGCAGCCAGAAAGTGTGCACAGGGTGCTCTGTGAGAGAAAGGAAACGTACTATGATTTGTCTCTTCTTTCCTTTTTCACAAAACCCAGGCTTTCCAAGAGCTTTAAAATATAAGTTTAAGTTTTCTAAACGGTTTTACAGTTTGTATTCCAGTGAGACCCCTTACAATTTAACCTTCAGAGTTGGCCTCTGAGAGTAAAATAGGCATAGCTCTCTTCATTTTCCCTTTCTCCCTGCTTGAAAGATGATAGTGGTAATCTCATGTGAAAACCTTTTAAGTAGTTTCTGATGTCTTTCTAGAATGTGCAGTTAGAGCCTCATTGTAATGCTCTGGGCTCTCCTGCCTGCTTCAGTTTACTCTCCTGTAATGGCCTGGAAAAAAAGTAAAAGTTCTGCTGTTGCAGAACAGAAGTTTCACTTTACAGGGCAACCCCCTGTAAAGAGTTATAGACATGACGGTGGTGACTACTGCTGTTCCTTCTTTAAACCCCTAAACAATTACCAGAATGTTTTAATTGTAGTCCGTAAGGCTAGACCTTAGCAGGAAGTACATGAGCTGGTCTGTGAGTGTAATTAACTGGGCCCCCTGTAAGCTTGGGATAATCCCAGTGCTTCAAACTGTATTTTTTGCCTTTTTTTTTTTTTAACTTAGTTGCCTAGACCAGTGTTTCCTGACCTCTTTCATGCCCTGACACACATAGAATATGAAAGTATTTGAAGAGCACATTGAGGCTCCTCCGGGAGCAAACTACCTGGAGACTCTCCAGCCCAGGCTCTGCCCTATCCCAAGGGCTACTACCTGGAGACTCTCCAGCCCAGGCTCTGCCCTATCCCAAGGGCTGACGGGCATCCATGTCCCATTCCACCTATTCTAGGGTAAACTTGGGTCTGTTTGCGTCTGTGGTCTTGGGATAATTATTAATGGTGACTCCTTTCACTCTCACAGTTGTTCCAGGTTAGACAGTAAACTGTAGGGTCACTTGACCAAACCCGTAAGCCATTCGTGACACACCTGCTGTGAAGCTCTGCCTAGACAACAGCTTGGTTTTGTCCTTCTTTGTAGTCTTAACTCTCATTTGACATTGCCCCAGTCTTTCCTCAGCAAGCTTTACTTTAGCACTAGGGGAACATTTATTGTATACTTTTTATGTATCAGGCATTTTACATACATTCTCCTTTAATCCTTCCAACAACCCTGTAGGGTTGTTGCGCTAGGTGGTGGCATCACCATTCGGCAGGCCAGGGAACGGTCTGAAAGAAGTAGCTTGACCTAAATAACACAGCTATTAAGTGCCTGAGCTCGAGTAGCAGGGGAGTTCCATTATACTTGCCAGCTCCATGCCTTGGTAGCAGCTGACTCACGCTGAGGCATCGTTGAGGGCGGGCTCAGGGGAGAGAAGTCAGCCATCCCAGCAGTTGTGGGCACACGAGGGGAGGAGGCACATGGTCCTGGCTGCCTCACTATAGCTCACATCTGACCAAGTGTAGTTGGGCAGGTCAGTGGGGTATCATGGAGATCCTCAGCTCACTTGTTGTTTTCATCATGGCCTAATGATAATAAATAATAACAATTCAAAGTAGGTATGGCAGTGACTGATCATGAACCCTCTGGTGTAAGATTTTTGCTTATCTTCACCAGGAGATGTTTTGTCCCATTATAAATTTGGTGGCTTTGGACTTGCTGTAACTATAGGGGAAGACCCAGCCATGATACATTAAAAACCCTTAACTTTCTTTTGCCTTTAAAACTATCTTATTACTCTCAGAACCAGAAAAAAAAAAACCTGTGGGTTTCTTATCTAAAATTATATTTTGATGCCTTATTGCCCCCAAAGAATTCTTGAATTAGGTAAAAAGCTCTTTTCTGGTGCCTCTTGACCTTAACTCAAACCTTAATAGAGAAGGCCTAGAGGTATCAGCCATAATTTTTCGTTGGGAAGAAATTGAGTGTATAAGACCATCTAGACCAGTGGTTCTCAACCTGTGGGTCGCGACCCCTTTGGCGGTCAAATGACCCTTTCACAGGGGTCGCCTAAGACCATCCTGCATATCAGATATTTACATTATGATTCATAACAGTAGCAACATTACAGTTATGAAGTAGCAACAAAAATAATTTTATGGTTGGATCACAACATGAGGAACTGTATTTAAAGGGCCAGAAGGTTGAGAACCACTGATCTAGACTGTCATTTTAAGGAGAGCTTTCCTGTGCTTACTTGTCAGTCACACATTGGTGAAGAAGCCTGAGTTCACAGGGATTGTTTTTGTTCATTCATTTATTTACTAAACATTCACAGAGCATTCACTGTCATTCACTGTGCCAAGGTGCTGGGCATACAGCTCATTGTGGCCGCATGAAATGGGAAGTCAGTTTGTCTGTCTTAGTCCTCCAGAAAATACTTTTCTCTAAATTTGCATTTAGTCAGAATTTATCCTTTTCTGTATTTGACATGTCTTTTTTTCCTTTTCATTTTAGCATTTCTGGCAAGGAGTCCATTACCGCTGGGCCTTTTTCATGGCCAGTGGTCTATATCTGGATGACATTGCAAAGCTGGTGGATGAAGGAAAGGTATGTGCAGCCTGTTGTGTTGCTAGAGTGTTCCTTGTAATCTGGGCAGCCTGCCCACCAAGCCCAGTCCTTGGGAACTCTGCAGAGGTGGGCTCGACCAGCAGGCGTGCTACCTCACATGGCCAAGTTTAAGTGCTGTGTTTTTGGTTCTACCTCCCTGGGAATCGTAGACGTAAACTGCTATATCTGAAAAAAAGCTCACACTGTCTAGTCGAATCTGTATTTATAGATGAAGAGGCAGGCCCAGAGAGGTTATATGATTCCCCTGAGGACCATTGGCTAGTGGTTAGCAGATCTGGGGTCTGTAGCTGGGCTGCTACTATCTGGTAATGGTCCTGAAAAGAAGGCACCATGAAGGCGGTGTGCAAGGAGGTGGGGGCACACTCGTGAGTTTACGATAGAACTGCTTCTGGAGGTAAGCGGATTTCCAGGCGGGCAAGGAACCAAACATTGGAATTTAAACCCCAACAGAACTGGACTGAAAGTCAGGTACCGGGGTCTCCTATTCCCTGGCTAGTGTAAGAAAATCGAGGGCCAGTAAATGGTATGCCTGAGAGGGTTGATGGGCAGGACATGGGTGAGGATGGATGGAGACTTTGTGGGGATAACTGGTTGGTTTTCCGACCACTCGTGGCCATCCTGCAGTGGGCATTGTGGGGGAGGACTGCTGCTTATATTCAGGTCATATCTTTTGGGGTATCAAAAGGCCTTTCAGGGCTGTTGAGGGTTGAAAGGCTCCTCAGCTACTGCCGTTTATTTGAGTTCGTACACAATCTTAATCTCTCTGATATTCTATCTTTGAAGGATAACCCAGAAGGCAAACTCATATTTTGGTGCTGATATTTATGACTTTATTGAGAGATTATACGGAATTATAGGATGGAGAAACTTATGTACTCTAGAGGCATAGATAAAATCATTCCCATTTTACAGATGAGAAAACTGGCTCAAAGAGATAATGGGACTTGCTCATGTGCAGAGGTGGGGCCAGAACTCATACTTCCTGACTCCCAGTCGTGTGCTTTTCCTTCTCCACCTTCAGCTGCAATCTTAGTGCCTAAGTCTGATCTGGGACTTCCCTTGTCATTTTACAGTGGGCAGGGATAGTGATTGGAGCAGGGCCAGCATTACCACCATGTGATCCATGCTAAGCCACTTGCAAAGAACCCTTTGCGATGGACTTGCTTCTGCTGGCACCTGCCCCTTGCTGGCCCATTTTATCATTTCATTTCAGTTGTGGAATGGACTGTTTTTAGGAACTTCTGACTTCTTTTTATGCATGTACTGTTGTTTTTTGTTTTTTGTTTTTTTTTTTAATTCTATTACAGCCAAGGAACTACATACAGTATGTGATAGTAAAGACCTACTACTCTTCCCTAAATTTTTTGGTTCCAAATTTGCATGCCTTTTCTCGGACTTCTGAATCTGGGTGTGTAGACGGAGGGCTCAGCCTTATTATGACTGTGTGAGTGCCCCTTTGCAGGGCTCTTCCCACATCCCTTGGATGCTTATTTTATTTTTAGAGAGACGGGAATAAACTATTGTAAGATAATTTGGCCCATGATTCTGTATAGTGCTCATGTGGTTGGAGCTCCATTGTTAGGTCCCTGTCCTACAGTGGCCACCACACAACTGTGCTTGTCCTGATAGCTGTTTCAGGCTGTCCACTTACCACTACCACTTTGTATTCAAAACACTGCCTCTTTCTCTCTACCTGGAAAATACTATTTACTAAACAAAGAAGAGAGGTGACTTGTGTATATGTATCTATTAAATTTGGCAGATAACTGGTAGAATGGCTAATAAAGGAAATGATATAAATAAAGATGCCCTTGAAGTATCCTTGAATGAGGGGTGCTGAGTGATTCCTTCCACGACCCGCGTGGAGTAGGGTTCGGTATCTGAAAGAAGAGCCGCACAACAAATGAAAGAAAGAGACACGAGATAATTTTGTAATACCGGGGGACCAGGCGGGCAAGTCCGGAAAGACTTCCTCCCCGTGCTCAGGTCTCACCAAGCTTTTATTCATCTGGAGTAGCCCTTAGGGTAAGGAGGTTTTAATGACACACATCAGCAGACAATTTTCAGGAATAGGCAGAGTATCTGATTAGCTCATCAACAGATCTCCAGGAGTATCTGATCAACAATAATCAACAAAGATCTACATAAGTACCTAAGGAATTAAGTGAACTAAGGTGGAGATGCTTCAACTATTATTACTTAAATTAACTGGGTAGTTCACAGTTCTGACCTTTACTAGAACTTCAAAGGTTACTAGCCTTTTTTGGGGGGTCTCTGTCTAAACTCAGCTAGTAAAGACAATGAATGGACTCCGGCAGAGGGGCAGTGAGGAAATATTCTTCTGACCTTCTCTGCACCAGACTTATTTGGGCTTGGGTGTAATTCTGACAGTGAAGGGCTCTGGAACCATGGAAGTTGATAGGTAACATTGGATGTCCTGGTGAAGTCGGCTCTCTTATCATGCATCCTGCTTCTTTGTGGGTGCAACAGGTCACTGACTGCCTACACTTGGAAATCAGAAAGGATTACGTATCAGGTCTACTTACATATTGTGTGGTTAGTAAAGATTGACATTCTTTAAGCTTTGGCTGAGTGCTTAATGACTCTAATTCGAGGCGTCTGATAGAGGACCTATAGTTAGTTGTTCTTTGACACTGTGAAGCCATGAACCAAAAGAGCCTACTCTTTTAAAATACTTAAAGTTTTAAAATAGATATACATTTGCAAGGTTTAAATTTAAAAGGTAGGAAAAGTAATTTCAAGAAATCTTCCTTTAACTCCTGTCCCTCAGTGACTGAGATTCTCCCTGTCAGATGCAACTAGTGTTACCAGTTTTTTTGGTATTCCAAATATGTTCTGTGTATCAGTAGGCTGATACAGAGAATGGTTTATAATCAACACATTGAGTGTAATGGGCAGCTGAAATTGTGCCTTGTGCCATTTTCTGCTAAGCACAATAAGCATTTTCTGTTTTTTTAATACTATTTAGCAATCATTTTTTGTTGGGAGTGGGAGGGCCATAGCAAATATTAGATTTGGGCCAAACATGTGTCATTGATAAACATACTCAAAGATTAAAAACATGAAAACCTAGCACATATCTAGCTTACTATCCTCCCCTCCCTCCACTCCCCATCCTACCACTGTGTCACATTTAGAGAGACTGAGGCTCTAAGAGACTAAATGACATGTTCAAGGTCACAGAACTAGGCAGGGCCCAGGTCTCATGACCTCTGGGACAGTTCCTTCTATCATCCTTTGCTGCCTTTAAGATTGGGACAATAATAGTTAAAAACTAAATTTCTCTCCCTGGCCAGTAGGACTCAGTTGGATATTGTCAGTTGGTGAGGATTGAGCCAAAAGGTTGCTGGCTCTATCCTTAGTAGGGGGCATGCAAGAGGCAGCCTATCAATGTTTCTCTCTCACATTGATATTTTTCTCCTCTCTTCCTTTCCCTTCCTCTTCCTCTAGAAAAATCAATTAAAAATCTTAAAAAAATAAAAATAAATTTCTCACAGAACCTTCATTGTTTTTTGCTTGCTTAGTCATCCATATATTAGATAGGTGGAGCTTGAATTCTATCTACAGAATCCTCTTCTTGAATCTGTCAGTATCTTTCAGGACTGAGAGGAGGTGATGAGGCAGACTTAAGATCACAATCAGCCACTGATAAAAATGACTGTGCTTTGAGGGAAAATATTTATATATCTTTGCCTTTATATGCATGTGTTAGTATCTTATCGGTGCTGTAACAAATTATCATAAGTGTTGTGGCTTAAAATGACACTTATTATCTTACAGTTGTGGAGGTCAGAAGTCCAAAATGGGTCAGCAGATCTGTGTTCCTTTGGAGGCAGGTGGTGGGGAGGGTCTGTTTCTTTGCCTTCTCCAGCTTCTAGAGCAGTGGTTCTCAACCTTCCTAATGCCGCGACCCTTTAATACAGTTCCTCGTGTTGTGGTGACCCCCAATTTCATTGTTACAAATTGAACATAATTAAAGCATAGTGATTAATCACAAAAACAATATGTAATTATATATGTGTTTTCCGATGGTCTTAGGCGACCCCTGTGAAAGGGTCGTTCGACCCCCAAAGGGGTCGAGACTCACAGGTTGAGAACCGCTGTTCTAGAGGCTGCCTACGTATATTCCTTGGCTCATGGCCTTGCGTCACTTTGACCTCTGCTTCCATTATCATCTCTCTCCTTCTGGCTAATCCTCTGCTTCCCCCTTGTGATCATGTTGGACTTACCCAGCTAATTCTCCCATCTCAAGATCCTGACCACAATCTCATCTGCAGAGACCCTTTTGCAAATTAAATTATCATATTCGCAGGTTTTGTTACTCTGGCCGCCACAAGCATAAAATATCTCAAAAGATACGAAAAAAAGAATTAAAATACTGGTTGCCTTTGAGGAGGGGAACTAGATGGCTGGGGATCAAGTATGGGAGGGAAATTTTTCTTTGTACCCTTTCATCTTTTTGAGTATCTTTCTTTGCACACATTCTTCATGTAATTATTAAAGACCTTTGATGTCATATACTTAATGTCCACAGATCTATTGAAGATTCTAGGTGACCAGCCAAGTTTCTTGATTGAGTGATGATGTAGGTACTTCTGTTTATGTCTTTATTTGAGCCAGCATCAAAATAGTTCCTATGTACTAATTCGAATTTAATTCAGAACATTTACTGAGGGCCCACAAGTACTCTGCTTTACCCAGGAGGATGTGGAGAGGTATTTGGCAATGCTGAGTTACCTCCAAGCAGTGCTGGTACACTGGCTCCTTGTAGGGATGGAGAAGTTCCCTGTCTGCACTGTGCAGTGTGGTAGCCACTAGCCACATGTGGCTGTTGACCACTTGAAAGGTGGCTAGTGCAACTGAGAGACTGACTTTTTCATCTTATTAACTTTTGATTAGCTTAAATTCAAATAGCCACATGTGGCTAGAGGTTACCGTATTGGACAGTACAGTTTTAG